ATGTCACCCACAATTATTGTCCTATTGGTTATGCATCTACAAATATGCTATTCCATTTCCTTTCCACTATTTGGGGGTCAACAGTATATCAGCAGCATGGCTGCCTCTTCTGTTTTTTTTTAATTTAAGCTCAACCTTTGTTGCTTCATTTGACAATTCCTTCAGTGCTTAATCACTTCTCGAGCTAGAATTGATCCCAGCATGGTGGCTCAGTGGTTAGCACTGCTGCCTCACAGCGCCAGGGACCCCGGTTCAATTCCACCCTCGGGCGGCTGTCTGTGTGGAGTTTACACGTTCTCCCCGTGCCTGCGTGGGTTTCCACCGGGTGCTCCGGTTTCCTCCCACAGTCTAAAGATGTGCAGGCTAGGTGGACTGGCCATGCTAAATTGCCCATAGTGTTCAGGGATGTGCAGGCTAGCTAGGTTATGGGGGATGGGTCTGGGTGGGATGCTGTGAAGGTCGGTGTGGACTTGTTTCTACACTGTAGGGATTCTATGAAACTAGTAATGGTAGACCCCCAACATTTTAAAATTCCCTTTACTGACCTGCCTGCAAATCCAGTAACCAGCGATACTGAGCTGCCATTTTTGCTCTTCTTTAATCTGTTAAATCAATAATTTATGGAAAGAATTGTCTGCAAAGTGAGCCAATTCCCAGTTTTAAACTGCTGCACCTTCATTTGCAATTTGACTGCATGAGGTTCTGTGAGAGGCATTTTCAGGCACAGCCAAATGAAGGGCCTCTCCTAATAATTTATTCACAGATTTAATTCACATTAACTAATACCAAAAACTTTGAATTTAAATAATTTGTGACTTATTTATCTTCCTCTTTCATCACGTTTTTAGATATTTAGGACACAGTTTAAAAGTAAAGGGTTTCCCAATAAAGATGGAAATGAGGAGGAATTTCTACTCTCAGAAATTCATTTATCTCTGAAATTCTCTCCCAGTGGATTCTGGATCATTGAATATTTAGCCTGGAATATTAGACATGACTTTGATTCCACCCTTGGGCAACTATCTGTGGTGAGTATGAACATTGTCCCCAAGACTGTGTGACTTTCCTCCAGGTGATCCAGTTTTCTCCCAGAGTCCAAAGATATGTAGGTTAGGTAGACTGGTCATGCTAAATTGCCCATTGTGTGTATGGACATGCAGGCCGGGTGGATTAATCATGGTAAATGCACGGTTACAGGGATAAGGTAGTGGGGTGGACCTGGCTGGAATGGTCTTTGGAGCATCAGTGTGGATCCAATAGGCTGAATAGACTGTTTCCACACTGTAGGGATTTTATGATTTTAAAAGGGAATTAATGATTATGGGACAAAAACAAAGTTGCTGGAGAAGCTCAGCAGGTCTGGCAGCATCTGTGAAGGGAAAAACAGAGTTAATGTTTAGGGTCCGGTGACCCTTTCTCAGAACATTACTGAGAAAGGTTCATCAGACCTGAAACGTTAACTCTGTTTTTCTGTTCACAGATGCTGCCAGACTTGCTGAGCTTCTGCAGCAACTTTGTTTTTGTTCCTGATTTACAACATCCGCGGTTCTTCCGGTTTTTGTTTAATGATTATGGGAGACCGGCATAAAAAAATTGCAGTTAAAGTTACAATCAGATCAGGCATGATCTTATCAAATGGCAGAAAAATGGCTTAAACATACTTTAAAAATCAGAAGAATCAGGAGTGAGCAATTACATTTGCTAGACACATTTCCACAAAGTTTTCAATTTCAGCTCACTGTTGCAGCGTTAGTCTCATCCCAAATGCAACCTGGAAAAACTATAGAGGGGTGGCCATAGGTATCCGCATGGGCCCCAGTTATGCCTGTCTCTTCGTGGGGTACGTGGAACATTCCTTGTTCTAGTCCTATTCCGGCCCCCACCCACAACTCTTCCTCCGGTATATCGATGATATCATTGGTGCTGCTTCCCTATCTCGTCCGGAATTGGAAAGGATGATCAATTTCGCTTCCAATTTCGACCCTGACCTCACTTTCACCTGGTTTCTGATTCCTCCCTTCCCTTCCTTGACATTTCTGGGGATAGACTGGCCACTAATATCCACTATAAAGCCACTGACTCCTACAGCTACCTGGACTATACATCCGCACACCCCACTTCCTGTAAAGACTCCATCCCATTCTCTCAGTTCCTCCGTCTCCGTCGCAAATGCTCAGGTGAGGCCAACTTCGACAAGGGAGCCTCCGAAACATCCACCTTCTTCAACCGAGGATTCCCCAGCACCATTGTTGACAGGGCCCTCAACCAGGTCCGACCCATCACCCACACTTCTGCCCTCACCCCTTCCCTCCTGCCACAGCGATAGGGGTCTCCTTGTCCTTACCTACCATCCCACCAACATCCACATCCAGAAAATCATCAGAAGCCATTTCCACCACCTCCAGCGAGATGTCACCACCAGACAAATATTCCCCTCATTTCCCTTGTCCGCCTTCCACAGGGAACGTTCCCTCCGGGACACCCTGGTCCGCTCTTCCTTCACCACAACACCATGGCACCTTCCCCTGTAACCGACAAAGGTGCTTCACCTGCCCATTTACCTCCTCCTTCCCCACTATCCAAGGGCCCAAACATACCTTTCAGGTGAAGCAACACTTCACCTGCACTTCCCAGAATCTAGTCTACTGCAGTTGCTGCTCACAATGTGGTCTCCTCTACTTTGGGGAAATGAAATACAGGCTGGGCGACCACTTTGCTGAACATACACGTTCTGCTTGCAGAAAAAAAAGAAGACCCTGAGCTACCAAGATGTAGAGCTGGATGAACACAGCAGGCCAAGCAGCATCATAGGAGCAGGAAGGCTGACGTTTCGGGCCTACACCCTTCATCAGAAATGGGGGAGGTGGATAGAAGATGGATAGAGGAGAAGATAGGTGGAGAGGAAACAGACAGGTCAAAGAGGCGGGGATGGAGCCAGTAAAGGTGAGTGTAGGTGGGGAGGTAGGGAGGGGATAGGTCAGTCCAGGGAGGACGGACAGGTCAAGCGGGCGGGATGAGGTTAGTAAGTAGGAAATGGGGGTGCAGCTTGAGGTGGGAGGAGGGGATAGGTAGGAGGAAGAACAGGTTAGGGAGGCGGAGACGAGCTGTGCTGGTTTTGGGATGCGGTAGGGGGAGGGGAGATTTTGAAACGCCCTCAACCGTATCACCCACATTTCACGCAACTCATCCCTCACACCCCGTCCCCGCAATAACAACCAACCAAAAAAGAATCCCCCTCATCCTGACATACCACCCCACCAACCTCCGGATCCAACGCATCATCCTCTGACACTTCCGCCATCTGCAATCCGACCCCACCACCAAAGACATTTTCCCTCCCCACCCTTATCTGCTTTCCGGAGGGACCACTCTCTCTGTGACTCCCTTGTCTGCTCCACACTCCCCTCCAGCTCCACCACACCCGGCACTTTTCCCTGCAACCGCAGGAAGTGCTACACCTGCCCCCACACCTCCTCCCTCACCCCCATCCCAGGACCCAAGACGACGTTCCACATCAAGCAGATGTTCACCTGCACATCTGCTAATGTGGTATACTGCATCCGCTGTACCCGTTGTGGCCTCCTTTACATCGGGGAAACCAAGCGGAGGCTCGGGGACCGCTTTGCAGAACACCTATGCTCGGTTCGCAATAAACAACTGCACCTCCCAGTCGCGAACCATTTCAACTGCCCCTCCCATTCCTCAGACGACATGTCCATCCTGGGCCTCCTGCAGTGCCACCACGATGCCACCCGAAGGTTGCAGGAACAGCAACTCATTCCGCTTGGGAACCCTGCAGCCCAATGGTATCAATGTGGATTTCACAAGCTTCAAAATCTCCCCTCCCCCTATCGCATCCCAAAACCAGCCCAGCTTGTCCCCGCCTCCCTAACCTGTTCTTCCTCCCACCTCAAGTCGCACCCCCATTTCCTACCTACTAACCTCATCCCACCCCCTTGACCTGTCTGTCCTCCCTGGGCTGACCTATCCCCTCCCTACCTCCCCACCTACACTCACCTTTACTGGCTCCATCCCCGCCTCTTCGACCTGTCTGTTTCCTCTCCACCTATCTTCTCCGCTATCCATCTTCTATCCACTCCCCCTCTCTCCCCATTTATTTTAGAACCCCCTTCCCCTCCCCCATTTCTGATGAAGGGTGTAGGCCCGAAACGTCAGCCTTCCTGCTCGGCCTGCTGTGTTCATCCAGCTCCACACCTTGTTATCTCAGATTTTCCAGCATCTGCAGTTCCTACTATCCCTGAGCTACCGGTTGCCTGCCACTTTGACACACCACCCTGTACTCCCTGGTCACCATATCTGTCTCAGGCTTGCTGCAGTGTTCTAGCAAAGCTCAATGCAAGCTGGAAGAACAACACCTCATTTTCCACTTGGGGACCCTGCAGCCCTCCAAACTCAATATTGAGTTCAATAATTTTGGGGCCTAACCTCTCCCATGTCCTAACCCCACTACACCACACACCAGGCCTTGTTATCTCTCAGCCTGCCATTACACACTACCTATTGTTAGTCACTAACAGTCCCCATTAACAACAATTCACCCTCCTAGCCAGATCACCACTTTGTCTATCCAACTGCTCTTCTCTTTCTTCGGGCTCTATCTCATTGTTTACTCCCTACCCCATTCCCCCCACTATTTCCTGCATATAAACTGATGTTTTCCCAGTTACCATCAGTTCTGAGGAAGGGTCACAGGACCTGAAACATTAACTCTGACTTTTTCTTCACAGATGCTGTCAGACTGGCTGAGCTTTTCCAGCAACTTCTGTTTTCGTCACATATTTGATGGGTTTCATTCCAAATATGAAACAGTCAGATTTACTATTTAGACAGCCTTCATTGCAAAGTCAAATCTTACTGTGATATCAGTTAGGTACAGGAAAATCAATTACTTTGCACAAACAATCAGCTCAATTAATGAAATCTGCTTTGCACAAATGTCTCCAAGGGGAAGAAGTTAAAACAATAACAAGAATACTTACATGCTGTATTTGCCAGAGCAAAGTCATCCAAAGATAAGTCGGATTGATTTGAGAGAAAATATAATAAAAGTTATTAGTACCTGAAATTAATTTAAAAATCCAACATTTTAGTTTTTAAGAGCAAGAGGATTTATATATTTTAATAAGCTATAGCTGTGATCACATCTGATCAATAATCTGTACGTTAAATACAGCCAAACTGTTGCCAGGTGTGAAAGTGGTAATAATATGCATCAAATTGTTGAGGTTTATAAAACAAAAGTATACCTTAATGACATCTACCCAATTCCATCCACGTGGCAATTGCCCTCGGTTATCTAATACAGAAATCAAAAACAAAAAAAGTCTTCAGAACAAGATTCAGAGGCATATTTCTTTCTTTTACCCCATTCCACCCCGCTTCCCCACCCATTGCTAGCCTACGCACCATGGACTGCAGTCAGATTTTGGCTATAATTTACATGGCAACCTTTAAAATTTAGGGTCAGTCAGCTACTAAATTTGGAAGAATCAAGACCGATCCTGACTTCAATTAATACTTTGTCAGCAGGGATACCTAGTGGTATTATCGCTAGACTGTTAATCCAGAGACCCAGATAACGTTCCGCGGACCCTGGTTCGAATCCTGCCACAGCAGATGGTGGAATTTAAATTCAATAAAAAAAATCTGGAATTAAGAATCTAATGATGACTGTGTACCCATTGTCGATTGTCAGAGAAACCATCTGGCTCATTAATGTTCTTTAGGGAAGGAAACTGCCATCGTTACCCGGTCTGGCCTACATGTGACTCCAGATCCACAGCAATGTGGTTGACTCTCAACTGCCCTCTGGGCAACTAGGGATGGGCAATAAATGCTGCCTGGCCAGCGATGCCCTCATCCCGTTAATGAATAAAGTGGGGGGATTGACAATGATACGTATAGATCAGGGTCCAATTCTTCTTCTCAACCACAACCACACAAATTTCATTGGAAAGTTAGTGCAAAGGATAAGAAGCTATTTCTCTTAGACCCAAATAGTTTAACAAACTGTTAAGGATGTCAAACAGACGTTTCACACCTTGGTGTTGAAAATCTTTTCTACATCTTTGTGAGCTGAGACAGGTCACTTTATATATTTTAAAAAAGCTGAAAATGAAGTAGCAGAGACTTTACAAGACATGGCAATAGTGGTTTTGTTTACTGGACTAATGATCGTACTTCATCTCATTTGTGCAGCAAATCTGAATTCCATTATTTAATTAAATCAGGGAAAAAAGTGTGACCATAAAACTACAAAATCATGGTGAAAACTCATCTGCTTCATGATGTCCATCAGTGAAGGAAAGGATGAGCTGATGTTACTTGTCATAGGATGACGACTGTACATGTGTAGAAATGGTGCATGCATTAGGTAATCAGAATACACTATTAAGATCACTTCAGCCCACACACGCTCATTCCAGGAGTGGAAAAGGGTGCACAATCTTAGGTTAGTTTGTACACACACAAAGTTACTAATCTTACATCTTTACAGCAACATTGCGAACCTGTCTTGTCAGCCAATTTCTTCTTTTGAGATTTTGATAGCTGTTCTTTTTTCTTTTTCTTCGCCACAGAAGTATGAGAAGTCACAGTATTTTGAGTCATTGATATCGTCTGTAGAAAAGCCCAAAAATATACATTGGTATCAATTAAATATTATCACTGAATAGCTTAAAAGTGATTAATGTAACAAGATAGCACCACAAGAACAGTCCCTTCATGCTAGAAACAAGAATGTACCCGGTCACTGGAAAAGGCTGAGTGAATATCAATTGTTGGATTAAATGATTAATACAAGATCCCAGGACACTTTTCATAAAAGAGTGCGGCATTCTGTTTGTGCTTAACATTTATTCCTCGTCCAACATCCCCCCAAAATGATCTTGTCATTTTCCTCAATACTTCTTATTGGTCTTCACTGTATGCAAATTGGGTGTTGTTTCCTCAATTACAACAACGACACCACTTCCAAAGATTTCACTAACCGTGAAGTGCTTTGGGATAGCCCAAGGTCGTGGAAGCCACTATATAAATACAAGTTTGTCATTCAGGTTAAAATAGCTGCTAACTTGGTGTTACACCTGTTCCTGGAATAGGAGACCACCACATTTCCAAAAATAAGATTCAAAAAGGTTCAAACATCTGAAGGCATTTTATAATGCAAGTTAAATGGATACTAAAGTTTAATAGAACATGAATGCACAATAAGTTCCTTATATTGAGGCTGAATTGTCATATTTTAATGGATTGGTTCCCAACTGTTCAATTTTTACTGAAATGTTGTATCTTGGATTTAAATGTTTCTAAGTGCTATAGCATTCTTTACTATCAGACTTACCACTGCACCAACTACTGGCTGATGGTTTTCCATAAGGTCCTCTTGGTTCTCTTTAGCCCATTCAAACAGTGTGTACACCATTGCTGTCCCCAAGTTTGCTTCAACCTGTTCTTGTAGCTTGGCTATTATATTCTGCTTTATTGAAGAAGAACTGAAGAGGACATAAAATATATATTAATATAATTTTTAATCAGATGGTTTACCAAACCAAGGAACTGAGCATGGTTAAAATTTTAACTGTCACTTTTACTGATAAAGGTTATTCATTATATTATGTCAGTTCTTCACCAAACTAGTTAGACCTTTACAAATTAAAGTTTTTGCAAAAAAAACTCTTTACTTAGTAAAACTTCGCAAAGTATTAGGTGGCACACATTATTAATAATTAAATCATTGGTCAAAGAAAAGTCTTTTCATCTGGGGAGGAGGGAAAACAAATTGATTTTTGGTTAAAATTTTATTGTCAATTGTTTGTTTATGCCACACTGTAAAAGGGATAAAAAAGTGTGGGAATTGTACTTTTTAATGTTAACTCTCCGAGCCTAGTTTTCATCAAATTTTTTGCATGGACTTTGTTTCATTGATTGGCTATGGGGCATTTTTCTGAGATTGGCGCATGGAATATTAGAAATAGCTCCATCAAGTTTGGCAGGAAGATAGTATCACCAGGGTGACTGTCCATCACAGAATTATTTTCTTCTTGGCTCTGTTTTTTTTTGGTATTTCTGCTTTTGTTTCTTTTTAAAATTCTGGCTTTTGTATCTTAGATGGTTGTTTTGATTTTTGAATCTAAGGTGTTTGGTTTTTTTTTAAAGTTTTGGTTTTGTGTCTAAATTGACACTGGAGAATGCCGATTTTATAAACTTTTCACTGTATTTCTATACTTGAGCACACATGCCAGTAAAATCTAATTCTAGTTCTATTACAGCACAGGAGGCCATTTGGCCATCTTGTCTGCACCACTTCTCTGTACACGCAATTTTGCCTCGTGCATTCTCTATTAGCTCTGCACATCATTCTTTTTAAAACAGCAATTCAACTCCCACTTGAATGTCTTGGTTGAACCTGCCTCCACACTTTCAGGCAATGCAGTCCAGCTCCCAACCACTTGTTGTGTGAAAAAGGCTTCTCCAGGTTGCCATTGTTTCTTTTGTCAATTACCTTAAGTCTGTCTCATGTTCTCAATCCTTCCATCAAAGGAAGGGCTTTTCCCCATTTACTCTGCCCTCCCATGATTTTGAATACTTTTATAAAATCTGTTCAAATCTTTTCTTTCAAGGAAATAAAAAGTGCCAACTTCTCCAATTTATCTGCATAACTGAAGGTCTTATCCCTGCTCCATTCTCATGGATCTTTGAACACTTCCAGCTGCCTTGGGAAAGCAACCAATATAATCAAAGACCCCTCCCACACCGACTATACCCCCTTCCATCAGGCAGAAGATACAAACATTTGAAAACACATACCAACAGATTCAAAACAGCTTCTTCCCTGCTGTTATCAGACTTATGAACTGACCTCATCCGAGTATTGCGCTTTCTCTGCAGCTGTAACACTATTATGCATTCTGTTCTATACTTACGTAAGGTATGATTTGTCTGGTTAGCACGCAATACTTTTCACTGTATCTCAGTAGATATAACAATAATAAATCAAATCAAACAGCAAAGAATAGTGCAGCACTGGAACACGCTCTTTAATGTAGTCCCATCTTATCCTAAAGTGTGGTACCCAGATATGAACGTAATACTTCAGAAGGAATCACTACAGTGTGGAAACAGGCCATTCGGCCCAACAATCCCACACCAACCCTCCAAACAGTATCCCACCCAGACCCATCCTCCTAACCTTCCCCTGTAAACCCGCATTTCCCTTGGTTAACGCACTTAACCTACGTATCCCTGAACACTAAGTGCAATTTAGCATAGCTAATCCACCTAGCCTGCACATCTTTGAACTGTGGGAGGAAACTGTGGGAGGAAACTGCAGCACCCAGCAGAAACCCCTGCAGACACGGGGAGAAT